TTTCGATCCTCGATGCTCTTCGATGCTCCTCGATCTTCGATCCTCCTAGATCTCTCCTCGACCCCCCACCCTCGATTCGAGTTGGGCCCCGAGGAGCGCGACGAAGCGATAGATGCCAAGAATAGGCTCCGGGAGCAGCTGAGCGATGCCGAGCGGACCATCCTAGAAGCGCCTAGCGGCAGGCGCCCTCCGCTGACGCGCCCCCCCCCCCACACCCCGCCCTCCTCTTTGAAGAGGGGGAGGAGCAGGAGGTACAGTCGACCAGCATAGTAAGGATAGGCATCCCTCCCAAGGGTACCCTTTGCATCCTTGCCTCCTGGGTCCATCCTCGGACGCTTTCGTTGGCCGCGCCCCGCTCGAAAAGCCTCGAAATGGGCGTCCAAGGCCCTTTGCATCCTTATCGCGCATCCTTACTGTACTGGTTGACCGTTAGGAAGACGAGGAGGAATGAGGCAGGAAGGAGGCAAGGATTCCTCAGGAGGGAGGAGGGAGGGAGGAGGGAGGAGGGAGGGAGGAAGGAAGGAAAGGAGGAGGGAGGGGAGGATCTCTCAGGCGGCCCCTCCCCCCATGGTCCCCCTCCTCCCCAAGCCGAGCACGGGCCCCCCGGGTGGTCCAGGGGGGGAGTCCCGCGCCTCCCGCCGCAGCGCACCACGCGCGCGGGCGGGTTGGCGAGGATTTGTCAGGAGGGGGAAAACACGCAGACACAAGTAATCGTCGATTCCCCGGAAAGTATTGGAAAACATTGACGATTGGGGGGAAGACCAAAGCCCCGAAAACATGGGGAAAAGATTGGGAATCTTGTTATTTGTGTGTATCTATTTGAGTGTCCCGGGCCCCTTCATTTTGGGACCTCTGCGCAGCGTTGCGAGAGAGAGCTGGAGGAGCTGGTAGTGGGAGGACGAGGAGGGCAGGAGGGCAGGAGGAGGAGGAGGAGGAGGAGGAGTGTGGGAAGGGGGGGAGGATCCGTGCCGACGCTGCCCCGGTCGGTGTTCTTCCTGAACACAGCACTTCTGTTCCCCTTCCCCCCCGTCCTGTCGTTCTCCCGCCTCCTGCCTCCAGCCTCCGTCTGCGTCCTTTCTTCTGACCTCCTGCCCCCTGCTCTGCTGCAGAGCCCTGTTGGGCCCGGGGACCGCTCGTAGGGGGCGTTCCGACGATGGCAGTGTGTTGTGTTTCGATTGTCTTCCGCTCAAGCCGGGTGACGTAAGCAGCTCAGCTGTCTGTGCTCATCGGACTGAGCCCGTTTGACATATTCTGGCGATGTGGGTGTTGCACATTGATGTTTCACGCAGTCGGAAACAGCGGCGTCGTTCGTGACAGCGTCGGCCTGCCCCGTGTGGTTGGTTGTGGCAGGTCCTGTTGAGGATACCCAACCACACGCCGAAGCGCTGCAGACGGACAGGACTAGGGGTGCCCGCAGAGTGGGCATGCTCAGTCCTAGATCGAAGGGAGGTGCACAATCAACTGTTTCAGCCCTCTGCTACCGGCTCAGCCGGGGATGGGGGTGACGCGGGTGCACATCTTGTCTGATATCTTGCAGTGATGTAAACTGCGGGCTGTCAGCCGACAGTGTCTCCCGAGCTCGATTTCGGCATGGCGTGAGTGCTCAGCACGCCAGAGCTGGGGCTTCGCAGGTGCGTTCTGACTTGGCTGCCGTGTCCGCGCTCGACTCCAGCAGCTTGGCCCCGGCGAGTCCGGCACGATCCTGGAGCCCGCAGGTGCCACGAGCGATGCGCCCCACGCGCGCCTCGCAGCAGGGGCCAGGTGCCTCGCACCCCCTCCCTCCTCCCTCCTCCCTCCTCCCTCCTCCCTCCTCCCCTGGGGCCGCGGTCGGCGCCCGCTTGCGGAAAACGGAGGCACCCGGCGGATGTCCTTGCAGGGCTGCCGCCCTTGCAGAAGTGGTACAAGAAAACGGTGGGGGCGTGGGGACTTGCCACGACCTGTGGGGCTTTGCTCGAGGACAGTGCCACGGGAGGAGTTGGGAAAAGTCGGGGGAACGTAGGACTCGAGTGAGCTGGGAGTCGGGTTTGCTGACCTTTTTGGACGAGCGCGTTCTAGATTTTGGCGGTCAAGTTTGCATGGGATGTCTGCAGCGGGAGCTCGCCTCAAATTTCGGTTTGGGTCTCGTCATTTTCATGATGGCCCCGTCAGGCCAGCCCGAGTGCCCCGTACCCGACTCTTACGGTTCCCCCACTGCTGGGTGTTATTGACAATGCCAGGGGAAGAGGAGGGAAGAGGGAACGGGAAGGCAGGGTGGGATGGGGGGATTCTCTGTTGCCGTGCCGCATCCATGCGCGAGAGGCGTCGAGATATCTCATCCGGTAGAGTCGAAGCGACGGCCGGACACCCCACGCGCTCACGAGGAGGAGGGAAGGTGGATGGCGAGGGGGCCGGAACGGGAGAAGGAACGAGAGATGGAGGAGGAGGAGGAGGAGGAGGAGGAGGAGGAGGAGGAGGAGGAGGAGGAGGAGGAGGAGGGCGCGCTGGCGGAGAAGGTCGACCGAGAAGAGTAGATAACCGAGGACCCGGTGGCCGAGTTGCCCTCCGCCCTCTGCGGGTTGGGCCCGGGTCCTGCGGGGACCCCGCAGGACCCTGGAGGCCGGGGATTTTGGGGAGCTCCTGGGGAGGGGGGAGGGGAGAGGAGAGGGCGAGCACGAGGGGGATGATCAAACGACGCGAAGATCGAGACAAAATCGGATCGGGATAACTCGAAATCTCTGAGATTCGGCGGGTTTGGAGGATGTATTGGGCGCCGCGGCCGCTCCAGAGCGTTCCGGAACGCTCTGAGAGCGCTCCGGAACGCTCTGGAGCGATTTATCCCGATCCTAGCCCTGTTTTAGATGAGCACGAGGGGAGGATGAGCACGAGGGGAAGACGAGCACGAGGCGAGCGAAGGCTTTGTTCCATGTCGCCTCGCCGGACCTTCCAGGAGGCCCGAGAGATGGCACCCGGACCTTTCAGCCTGGATCATCGTCGAGATTCAAAGCAATCCTGGCTCAGCAGCGCGAGAAAAGCACCAGCTACCAGCAGTGGTGCTGTCCATGCAGCGAGGTCCTTGTTCATTCCACGTGAGTGTCCCCGCGTGGATTCAGCGTTACGTACTACACGTGAGCGAGCCTTGGTGCGTTCCACGTGAACGTGCGCGCGAGTCCTTCATGCAGGACTAGCGCGTTCCTGGGGGAATTTCCCAGCGTGGATGTACCTCTGCGTTTTCTGTGTGAACAGTTTTTTTGCTTTCCACATGACGCGCTTGTTTCTGTCACCCGGGAGTATCAAAATATGAATGGCTTCCGGCCATTGCCGCCGATTTGGGGCAATCTCGATGGTGTTCGGGTTCGCTTGGAGGCCTAAGGGGCCCTCTTGGGGCCGTCGAAGGAGGAGGCCTCTTGAGGTGGCCTTTTTGGCTGTCCTAGGGCATTCGTGGCCCGTCGGACGCCGTCAGAAGCCGTCTTGGACGCCTCGCTGTGCCGTGAGAGCACTCTGGGGGAGCTTCAGGACCGTGTTGGAGGCTTCTTGGCCGGCTTCGGGGCCTATGGGGCCGTCTTGGGACCCTCTTGGGGCCGTCTTAGGGGCCTCGTGGGCCATCATAGGGCCAACTTGAAGGCCTACGGGGCGATCTTGGGGGCCTCTGGGGCCGTCGGAAGGCCGAAAAGAATGATGCGCCCAAATCCTTCAAAGACATGCACAAAATCAATGATTTGGGCGTCGTCCCGAAATTTCACAAACATTTACAGGGGTGGTCTTTGGTCGCCACGAGGTGGGACGACTGACGGCAGCAGCCCAGGGTTCTGTTCGTTCGTTTTGGCTTCCTCCTCCTCCTCCTCTCCCCTTCTTTCTTGCAGCGATGTCTGGGCGCACATGTTTCCAGCTTCAGCCCGTGCCCCGCACGGCGGCCGACCGCTGCTCGATCGGACCGGAACGCAGCGTGACGCAGCGTACCGGTTCTTCCCTTCTCGACTAGGCGTAAGAGTGACCTTTCGCCGGCGTGACCTTTAAAACGACGCGAAGATCGGGACAAAATCGGATCGGGATAATTCGAAATCTCTGAGAATCGGCGGGTTTGGAGGATGTATTGGGCGCCGCGGCCGCTCCAGAGCGTTCCGGAACGCTCTGAGAGCGCTCCGGAACGCTCTGGATCGATTTATCCCGATCCTAGCCCTGTTTTGACCTCGGGTGCGGGCACAGATGGGCCCCCAGATGGCCGACAGAGGAGCGGCAGCAGCGGCCTGCGCGCCTGTTTTTTTGCTCCCCCCTCGCGCGGCCCCACGAAGCCGCGCGCCGGAGGTCGCTCTTGCCCGGGGGTTCGGGCTTGCTAGAGAGAGCCGCGGAAGCGAACCGCTCGACAATGGATCGCATTCGCAGGTCTGTGATTAGTGACTCTTCAATCGCAGACGCTTTTAATGCCAAGTGCGCCGAGGAGGTCGGGTCGCGGAAGGCGCGGTGGGACCGCCCAACAGCGGCCGCTGTTGGTTCGGGACAACCTTTGCTGTTGGGCATTGTACCCATTCTTTCGGTACCCATTTCGGGCGTCCAAAGAGGTGGACAGGCCTCCTACCCTGACGCGTCGATCAATTAAGGGATTGGCCGTTTTCGGTTCGCGAGAGGGCGTCGCGGCCGTCCTTTTTGCGGGTCCAGGTCCGTCGGCTTCGGTCCCAGGCCATTTTCACTGAGGGGAGGTTTGCTAAAGGGAGGTTTCTCCACCGCCGAGTGGGGACCTTCCCCAGAGGCCCCCCAGGATCCACATTCGGTCCGGTAGATCTCAGCCACGCGCAGAGGGGGGGCGGGAGCGGGGAGGGCTTCTCAGAAGCACCCATGCTTCTTGGAAGGCGCGGGCCTTCTCTGTAGACGTAGGGCCGGCGCCTTCTGAGAGGCAGCCTCCTCCTAAGAAGCCCCCCCCCTCCTCCCTCCCCCCCCTTGTGACGCGCCGCCAAAGATCCGATTCCACGTCGGTCTGATGAGATCCCATTCGATTCCGACGAGCCGATGCGGCCCGTTGCTTGCATGGCGCGGTTGTGCCTCCCGGCGCGGCCGACCCGATGCAGTCTCGGCCCCGTCCCGAGGCGGCCCGATCCGAGGCGCGCTCCGACTCGAGGGAGTCCCGACGGCATGCCGGCCGCTGCTCGAAGGGGGGCCCACAACGGCCAGAGTCCGCTCAAAGTCAGTCCTGGGGTCCCTGATGGGTCCATCCCGATCCGCTTTTCGAGGTGGAGCCAGCCGTGGCGACGGCTCCGACTCGAGGGAGTCCCGACGGAATGCCGACCGCTGCTCGAAGTGGGGCCATCAACGGCCAGAGTCCGCTCAGAGTCAGTCCCGGGGTCCTCGGGCCGGGCGAAAGGGGGGGGATTGGGAAAGGGGGGAGGTACGAAATTTGCTGCATGAAGCTGGTCTCGACCTCACCGAGGGGCCCCTTCCTCGATACACAGCCGCCTCCGGCGCCGGGGGGCGCCGGGAAGATCAGCTACGTGAGCTGATTCTCAAACCCCCCCTTTGCTATCCCCCCCTTTCGCCCGACCCGAGGTCCCTGCTGGGTCCATCCTGATCCGCTTTTCGAGGTGGAGCCGGCCGTGGCGACGAGAAGCCTCCGGGAGCGCGGCGCCGGACGAAAAGCGCCAGGCGGCGCCGCCGTTGTCACTGCAGACGGGGCGCTGAGGGAGGGGCCCTTTTCGTTGGGGAGGGGCTCGGTGTTCCTTAGTGGCTTCACAGTTTTCCAAAGTTCACGGGCGAAGAACGGTATAAAGTAAACTTTTTCGCCGTCGGGGGCGCATGTCCCTGGGCGGCTGGAAAGTTTATACCCCGACGGTGCCACCGTAAGGGTATAAACTTTCCAGCCGCCCTGGGACAGGCGCCCTGGGACAGCGAGAAAGTTTATGTTACACCGTTCTTCGCCCGTTAGCAAAGGCTTCCCTGAAGTTTTCGATGGGACATCGAAGTTCCACTTACGGGAAAACGGGGGCCTCGCTCCGTCTGTAGGGTCCCCGGAGGTCCACGCCCCGACTGTGCCGGCCTCCCTCCGCGCTCCTGCTCCCGGGCGTGCGAGGCAGATCATGGAGGTCCTCCGGAACGCCAGGGAGGCGATGGGCTCCAACAGGAGCAGGGGCGCCGGCAGGGGGTCACTGGCGCTCAAGGGTTGGGGAGGAGGATCAGTGGAGAGGAAGCATGTTGCCAACTAAGTCCCAGGTGTCTAGAACATGCCTTGAACGTGTTCGAGACCTGCAAAAGCGTGTGTTGAGACATGCTTATGACGTGTTTCCGACATCTCAAACCTCTGTTGAGCTCAATGATCGGACTCTTGGGGTGTCCACTGTCGTGGCATCCACAACTCGAGGGCGGAAGCATCGGACCTCCATCGCACACTCGTCGCCGGCCGGGGCCCGCGTGCCCCCCCGGCCGTCCCGGGCTGGCGGGGTGATCCCCACCCCGGGTTCCTCGCCGATCTGTCGGCGATGCATCGTCGATGCTAGGTCTCGGAGAGTCCGGAGCCGGACCTGAGCGGTGTTTTGGCGATTTCGTGGGCCGTTTTCGTCTCGATTTCGTTTTGCGGCAAAGGCGGATTGAAAACAAAACGGGGGAAAACGAAAACAAAACGAAAACGAAAAACCCCGTTTAGGTTCAGCCCTGGAAGAATCGCCGAGCGCGTTCTGCTACTCGCAAAGTGCCTACTCGCAAGCGTCAGAAAGCCGTTCGTCTGTCTTTGTGTAATATATCGTAAGTCCCTTGTGGCGGATCCAGGCCATTTGCGAGTAGCTACTTTGCGAGTAGTGGAACGCGCTTGTCTAAAGAAGAAGAAGAAGAACCCCCCAACAAAAAAAATATACTTTTGGCGCTCCGCGCGGATTTCTTGGATCCGCGCCTGGGCCCCCCGGCGGCGCCTCCGGCACCGCCCCTGGCGCGCTCCGCGCGCCAGCACCGCCCCTGGCGCGCTCCGCGCGCCAGGGAGGGGGGTCCAGCGCGAATCTAAGAAATACGCGCAGAGCGCCAAACGTTTATGTTTTTTATTCGAAGGTTTAGTCGGGCCTGTCCCCCTACAGGAGGGAGATTCGAAAATAGCCAAAAATAATACAGGGATGGTTTTCTGAGTATGTTTGAACATATGTTGCACATGTTCTTGGTATGCTGGATTGTTCTTCCAAAATCCCCTTGTAGGGGGACATGCCCGACTTAATTCTAAGGTCGGTGTTCCCCCTCAAGGTGGCGTGGATTAGCGACGGGTCCCGTTTCCAGGGGAAACCGCGGACTGCCGGCCGCCGCAGGATGCGGCACCGGCCGCATTTTGGGGGAGGGCACCTCCATTGGTCCATGGATTTGACGACCGCGCGCCAAATCCATGGATCGCTAATCCACGTTTGCGCGCCCCCCAATTGTCAGAGCGTGAATTACCTACCCCGCTTTCGCTTCCAGGCAAAACCAAGTCATACCACGCGCCTCCTCGTCAAGCGGCCTGACCAGTACAGGCCGTAGTTTGGCATCGTTTGGTGTCTTTTGGAAGCGAGGGTGGTCAAAAGC